TGAATCATGTCATCTGTCAACAAAAACAGTTTTACTTCTTCTTTCCAAAATTTACGCTTTCTTTGTCTTTTGTTTCCTTATTGTTCTTGGTTGGACTTCAAAGCCATTTTGAATAAAACTGAGAATAGCTATCCTTGCCTCACTCTGGATCTTAAATGAAAAGACCTGTTAAGTTCAAAGTTAGAAGTAGGTTTTTAAAAATTATCTGAATAAGGAAGTTTTCCTCCGTCTTAGTTTACAGAGTTTTTTGGTTTTTTTTTGGCATTGTTGTCAAATCATGATGAGGTGTTAAATTTTATCGAATGCTTACTCTGCATCAACTGAAAAAATAGTTTGTGTTTTCTCCTTGGTTCTGTTAATACATTGTATTACATGGGTTGATTTTTTAAATTTAATTTTATTTATTTTTATTTTTTAGAGAGAGGGGAAGGGAAAGAGAAAGGGGAAGAAACATCAGTGTATGGTTGCCTCTCACATGGGCCCCAGTGGGGACCTGGCCCGCAACCCAGGCATATGCCCTGACTGGGAATTGAACCGAGATCCTTTGGTTCACAGCCAGCGCTTTATCCACTGAGCTACACCAGTGAGGGCATGGGTTGATTTTTTTATGTTAAAGAATCTTTGCATTCTTTGCATGAATGATAATTGGTCACAATGTAATAAACTTTCATATATTGCTGGATAAAATTTGCCAATTTAAAAGCGCCTTTTATATTTATGTTTATGAAGGATATTGGCCTATAATGATCTTTTCTGGGAAGATATTTCTCGGGTTCTGGGGCAGAATCATTCTGGCCTCAAAAGTGAGTTTGGGAGAGTCCCCCCCTCTGTCTCCTGGAAGAGCCCGTGGAACCTGGTGGGACCCCTTCGTCAGTGACTGCTGAGCGGAGCAGTGTCGTGCTGACAGTAATGGTCAGCTCTGGGGAGAGGGAGCCGGGGTCAGAGGCAGCCACGAGAACTGATTTCGTTGGTGTGTTTAAATCTGTCCTCTGTGGCAGCCACTGGGAACATGTCTGGTTTGTTAGGAAGCTGTATATTAAAGAACAGTTCACTAAGGCCATGGTCATGGACAGAAGGTGCCCACGAGCAAGTCCCCAGGCAGATGAAGAGCACGGGACCACCCCTAGCTCCGTCCCCAGCAGCAAAGCCTGCAGCGAGCCCCACACCAGCCGAGTGGACACTGTGAGCCCCCTGTGCCATCTCCCCGGTGAGGGAGCCTGCGCAGCTCTGGCTTCACCAGTGTCCCGGGTGGGGCCTCTATCTAACAAGGGCCCCAGCAGCCTGGGCAGGCCCTCTGCCCGCGGAAGGCCTGCAGGTCAGCGGGCGGCTGTGGGCTGACTGCCCAGAGCAGGTGGCAGACCCCTATCTGTGACCTATCTGAGGTCACTCGGTGGGCCACAGGCAAAGGCGGGACGGCTTTCCTGGTTCAGAACCTCTGGTTAGAAATTACCTCAGTAGTGACGTCTGGGACTGAAAGTGCTGAGACGGCCTATTAGGCTGGTCCCGTCCGCTCTTCTCCAGGTGAGGGCCACAGGGTGCTGCGGGGCCCACTGGGTGCCTGTGTGTGCACACATCATTTCAGTAGGTGGCAGCATGCCCTCTCCTTTCAAAGGTGTCTTCTGAAATGGAGTCTTCAGTGGACAGCTGCTGCTGGGAAACGGCACTGACTGAGGCGGGGGCCCACCGGGACTGCTGGGGCCTGCAGGGTGCACCAGCGGTGACAGCTTCGGGGCAGACGCTGGGGCACGGCACTTCCCTTCGGATTCTACTGGGGATTCGACCAGGGACAAGGCTTGCCTATTCTCCCTCTTGCTCTCTTGGGCTCTCTCATTTTTTCTCTTAGATTTTATAAATTAGATTGGGGAAATTACTTGAATTAAGATTATGGGAAAAACACACAGCAACACAAACTTTTCTTCTTCAAATCGACCATCTCTCAACCCAATAGAAAGATGGCAACGTGGTCAGAGCCAGTTTAAGAGGATCATTGTAAAGCTGTGATTTTTAACTAAGGCCCCACAATCTAGAAATCTAGAATCTTCCTTTACGTGCCTGCTGGGTCTCCCTTGGTCTCCTCCCACTCTCCCCACCCTGCCCAGCAGCTGTTTTCCCTTTGCATTTCTAGGAGTGCCCTGTGTCATTCTCTGCTACAGAGGACTTCCCTAAAGCACATTGTCTTTCATTTATTTTCAACTTTTTATTAAAGTATACCCTACATAGAGAAAATGGTATAAATTATAAGTTTGATAAATACCTCCTTCTGGGTCAGAAAAGAGAGCACTCCTTCGTTTCTCTCTCAACAGCCGCCCTCACCTCCCCCAGGATGACCGCCCTGCACCCTCTAGGGCAGCCGGCCCTGGGCAATGTGGGTGGGAAGTGTGCGGGCCGTTTACCCACGGGTTTTGTTCCATAAGTGTGTACACTGCTGCATAAGGTTCTTATACTCCTTATGATTTTCTGAGTAACATTTTCTTTTCTCTCATTTACTTTATTGTAAGAAAACAGCATATGAAAATAATATATATAGATATACAAAAATGCGTGAATCGACTTTATGTGGTCAGTATGGCTCCTGGTAAACAGTAGGGTATTAATGGTTACATTTTGGAGGAGTCACAGCTCTACGTGGATTTCGAGCTGTGTGGGGGCCAGTGCTCCCAACCCCTGTTGCAGTTCAGGGGTCCCCTGTACCATCTGTTAGCTTTATCTGTTTGGGAACTTTATATAAATGGGATCATAAATTGTGTGTTCTTTTTTCCCAACATCTTTTTTCAACATAGCTACTGTTCATTTGTTTATTGCTGTATTGAATTCTATTATATGATTATTTCATAATCAGTTTTTCTTTTTAAACAAATAATTAATCGTACTTGAAACACCTCCCAGATTATCTCCTTGTTGTACAGGATAAGCACATCTTTTGGGCTCTCCGTTGTTAGGGCGAACAGAGAGAACTCACTGCAGAAAAGAAATTACTTAGAAAGAGTTCATGCATGTTCTTGCAGCTGAGAGCTGCCTGTCGCCGCCCGCTCCTGCTCACTGGTGTCAAGTGCGGCCTTGGTCCCTTCCGTGCTCCCCAGCCCTGACTGCTGCGTCGCCCTCAGCATTTCACAATGCACCAGCATCTGGGCCCTCAGACACCCTGACTGGATTGGGATTCAGTGCTCAGGACCATTGTCATGAGCTCCCCAGATGACGTGACACCTGCCGGGCTGGGGCCACTGGCCAGTCTCATCAGACGATTCGATGCGTGTGACCTGAAGCGCATCTGCGTGCTGTGTCTCAGAGAGCTCCCTCTTCATCTGTTTCGGTAACCGTGGGACACCACGGGCCCTCTGCAGCAGCCCTCCACAGTCAGAGGGTGAGAGTGCAGCGGTCCAGGGCAGCAAAGGCCATGGCCAGGCCAGTCGACGTGGGGACTTAGACACTCTGGGGAGCTGTGGTGCAGAGAAAGGGCCATTGTGACGCTGCAGTAGCAGGATGAGGGATGGCAGAAAGCAGATGGTGGTGGTTTGGTGAGTGGACAGGAGGCGAGGGAATGCAGACAGGTGTAGACGACTTTCAACACCCAGCTCTCTCTCCCATGGGAGGCGAGGTCCTGCCAACTCCCCTGGGGCCTGGAGTTGAGGGAACCAGTACTGGAAGCAGGTGACTGTTTAGGGCAGAGAATAAAGTGGGAAAGTGACCCCAGAGAGCCAGAAGGGGAGATGAATAGGGTCCCCAAAGGGGAGGGGCCAGAACCAGTGTCTGAAGCTGGATTAGGGGACCGAGATAGAACATCCCGGTAGGCAGGTTCTTGAGAAGAACTCAACTGTGTGTGCTGCTGCATTCGTGTTCGAGGGGTGGCAGGGGCCCAGGCTCTGTGGGGGACAAAGGGCAACTAATAGACAGGGGAGTGGGGAGTGGCTATTGGCAGGGGTCTCAGGACGAGTGGCACAGAAGCAGGCAGTGTGAGGACAAAGAGACTAGCAGGTGATGGTTTTATCTATGGGGAGACTTCAGACAGAGAGTGGCTCCAGGCAATGAAGTCTGGTGCATGGTCACGGCTGTGGGCCAAGGGTGGAGAGAATGGCAGGGTGTGTGGGACTGAGGTGGGTAAGGTGCTGGGAAGCTACAGTGCAGGCGGGGTCCTTGCTGTGGGCACCAGAGTCACCAGTTGGCGGCAAAAGTTGCATTCAAGGAAGAGGTTGTGCCTGAGTCCTCAGAGGTCCTGGAGGAGTGTTCACAAGATGACAGTTGTCCATGAGAAGTCGGGAGGCAGACAAGCTAGGAGAGAGGTTTGCACAAAAGCAATGGACATAGGGAAGGCTACCTTCCATCCCTCCTGGACCTGCCACACGTTCGGGAGGGCCACCAAGGTCATGGCATCCCAGGGGCAGGGCAGGAAGTGGAAAGTTTCATTTCGGTGATGTGTGCAAGGTGAGAAGATTGTCTCTAGAGTATGCATGTAAAAAAGTAAGTTTCCAGGAGCGAAGGATCATCCTTTATTTTCTGCTGAGATAGTGAACGAAAGGTTTCCAGGTAATGACAGAAGACAGTGGTTCTGACTGGGTAGCATTTAATATGATCAGGTCTTAAATAAGAAGCCATGAACATAAACATTTAAATCCAAATACATAATAAATAATCATTAAGTTATAAAATACAGAGTTCATGTTGAAACTAAATTCTCAGATGCAAATGTCAATACAACAGAGCAATAACACAGATAATATAATAATGCTACAGTTCTATGCAGTTGTCCAAAGAAGACACCTTCAGCTAAAATGGTAGAAATCCTGAATCATTTCCCTGAACTCCCGTGACTTACTGCAGTCCTTTCTTTCTTTCCTTCCTTCCTTCCTTCCTTTTTTTTGGAACATTTTCCTTGTTCCCACAGTGAGTATTGCTACAAATTCTACTGAAATAATGTTGATCGATTGAATATCAGATTTTAGTAAAACTGTTACTCAGAAGTGTGGTCAGATGCTCCTATAGGAACATCCAGAATTTTAGCAACTCAGAGACACATTAAGCTCTTTTTTTTTTAAAAAAAAAAAAGGCAGACTAGCCCTTAGATATTAAGTCCAACAGCCTTATTTTACAGGGGGGAACGTAGAAACCCCCCAAATGTAAGCAAGTGCTACGACCAGCAAGACTGCAAGTGTCCTGCCTGACTCCCTGCAGGTGACCAGTAATGCTATGGGTTAGCCTCCCAGGGCTTTTGAGGGCTGGCCTAGTCTTGCACATGGAGCAGGGAAGCTGTCTCGGTCTTGCTCCTCACCTTGAGCATGCCGATGCGCTGCTCTTTCTCAGGGTGCCACGAGCCCCTTTGCCCAAGGCTTCGAACTCAGGTTAGTGAAGGCTCTTAGTGAACACCCCACTAAATTACTTTTACTTTGAAGGTAAAATCTCTGGTCAAATGGATTACAACAGATTTATTAACAGTAAACATACCAAAAATAAATATATTATTTTAAATACAAAATCACAGTGTCAGAGAAGTCAACAAACAGCTAGAAAGCCGGAAACAAGGAGTGAAGACTCCCTCAGGCCACATCAGCTCCGTGCCTGGTCTCCAGCTTCCCCCGCAGCCTGGCCCGCACCCCACACCCCGCACACCGGGGCGGCTCTCTGTGCGCGGTGAGGCCATTGCACACCTGTCTGCACGATTCCTTTGCAAGAGCATCTTCAGTTTTAAAACAGAGTTACCTCGTTGCAGCTGGTAAAACATCTCATGGAGGTTTAATGGCATGATGATCCCTAACATCTTTTAGAACTATAAAAATACTTCTTAAGATACTTTTAAGTAGATCATTCTTCTTCTGAGCATAAAGCATGTCCCATACAACATCTTCTTGCACACTCACAACCATTTTAACAATAAGTGATTCTCACTTAAATAATAAGATACAGCCTGACACAGGACACAGCCGGACGGGAGTGAGGGCAGAAGGCGAACGTAACTTCAAGGTACCTTTTGGATGAGTGACTTCAGTCTCTCTAGGAATCCTTTGGGTGGTTTTTTTCTCATAAGATTCACATATTCTCAAATAATGTTCTAGCACAGATTTTCTTTTTCTAGAGTGTCTAACTGCCCACTTGAGCAAGCTGTGGAATTGATATGAAATGGCAGTCACAGCAGTTGCTTGTCTTTACCGCCGAGCTTGGGTGGCGGCACATCAGTGGCCGAGTCTGCGCTCTGTGCCGACGGGAGCCCTGGCCTCCCCATTTGTATCCTGACTTTGATCGTCTACAGGTGACTGAATCTGCCTTAGGTAAAGCGTGCAAACACCAATTGTCTGTCATTTTTGAAAGAAAGAAGAGGAAGCGAGACGGCATTGGGCGTTTGGAGCAGTCAGCTCCGCCCCGTGCAGCTGCCCCAGCCGTGGGGAAGAGAGCTGCCTCGAGCCCGGCTGCAGCTCTGGAGGCCGGCCGGCTGGCCCTCCGCGGCGGCACTGCCGTGCCACAAGCACACAGTGTTAGCTTATCGGGGGACTTGGGCTGGGACTGTGCTGCTGAGCCCACTGACAGGAAAAAGACAAAAGTCTTTCATAAATACATTCACATCCATGGTATTTAAATATCTCATCTATCCCGATAAGGAAGTAAGAGTTTTTGTGTAGCCATCTGGTAAAGATATCCCCTGGCACATAAATAAATTATATATTCAAATGTTAGACATTCTGTGATAAAAAGTAAACTCTTCAGGTACACATTTTTAAACACTCAGTTTTCATTTCATTAAACAACTAAAGACTTCAATTTTCCATTTTGACTCCACACTTCTATATATTTCAGCTTGAATGAAGGTGTGTAACTTTCAGGTTATGATTATAAGAGGCCTCATTCTTGTGGTAATCAAGATCAAAGTTAATAGAAGATCAGTAAATTCCCAAACTGTATTTTTGGTTAAAAATTTTAAGCCTCTGCCCAATCAAGAAATGTGGTAGTTGGGCCAGTAAGCACAAAGTTTAGGTCATAGAAACCCACAGCATAGGAAACCAGATTCTAATGAGCAGGCAGTTTTTTCAAGTTGAACAGACACAGACCATGTGGATTAAACTGAAGTATTGAGCAGTGACGAGGGGGAAACAGTCCCGACTCTGAACCTGGCCTGAGTTTCCCTCTGCTCACTGATGTGCTGTGTCCCTGCATGTGGAGCGCCAGAAGTGCGTCTCACTGCTGCGGTGGAGCCCGTCCCGTAGTGTCCAGCTGCCGGCAGGTCCTCGGGACCCTTCCCCTCCCAGGCTCTAGGAGAGGTGCTGGTGGATCATCTGTGGAGACAGCAGACTGTGAGCGAGCAGCCTGACATGGGACGCAGTGGGACAGGAGCAAGGGCGGAAGGCCAGTGTAACTTAAGGGGTACCTTTTGGATGAGTGACTTCAGTCTCTCTAGGAATTCTTTGGGCGGCTTTTTCTCATAAAAATCACACGAAGGGCACATCTAGAGATCAATGAAAAAGTAACATTCTTCTTTAAAACTCGTTTCGTATTGAATAAAGCATTCATCGAGAATGTGCTTTTTCAAATTAGAGACATAAATCATGTTCACTGAGAAAATTGAGAAATGCATAGAATTGTTCAGTGGTGTTTGGAGACGTGTCCTCCCAGTGATTTTTTCTTTGCATTTATGTTATTTATACTGATTGGTAATTTGCTTTTTTTACACTTAATATATCACAGACATGTCCTGTGTGTTAAATATTCTTTAAAAATATGATACACAGTGGTAGCTTCATATTCCAACACAGGATTGAACTCTTACTATCTTTGGACACATACTGCTTCTAATATTTCATTGTTTTATCCAATGCCTAAAAGAACATCTCCAAATAGTTTTTCGTATACATCCTTGTTTATTTTATTGGATAAATTTCTAGAAGTAGAATTACTAAATTAAAGGGATGAAAAATTTTAAAGTTTTTGATGTACACTGTAAAAAGTTACTTGCATACACACAGAGCATTTTTACCATTATTAGGCCTTAAAATTCATTATTGGAAAAAATAGAATTTCCTTGTTTTAATTTCCATGTATTTGATTCCAGGAAGAATGAACATGTGAATTGTTTGTTTATATTTCTTTTTTTTGAAAAAAATGTCTTGGCCTGTATACTCTACCCTCGCTCTTGTAGAGAGCCACCCAGCAGGCCACTGCTGGGCATTTCGCACCTGAAATGCCAGTCTGATGTGTTGGTGTGAGCATGTGACTGAGTTAGGAGCTGCAAGTTCTGGCTCTTGCTGTTTGCAGTGTACACGTCACTCAGCCTGTTCATGGTGGCTTTCCCACCTGGCAGGGGATGGTGCTTAACTGGATGCTTCTGGGCTCAGTGCCAGCCCCACTGTTCCATGTGTCTTTGGTGCTGGATCAAGGACATGCTCAGCGCCTTTCCTTCTGAGGAGTGTGTGTGTGTGTGTGTGTGTGTGTGTGTGTGTGTAGGCCTCAAAGGCCAGTCTTACCTCTCTCTGTTTCTGTCTTCTCCCTGCGCTGGTGTGGGGCAGTGTCCGCGTCAGCTGTTTCGTTAGCAGGCTGATTATCTGCTCGTTGTGTCCTGCATTTGCCGACTTCAGTTGGACCTTCTGGAAACAGGAAAATGCCGATCGCTCACAGTGTCTCTGAAAGAGAGATAATTTGTAGACGGGTGAACAAAAGTTGCTCAGAAAGGAAAAACGTCCTTCCCGATCCTCTTTTGCGCTTGTGTGACAGTGTCTTGGGTCACGCTCGCTGCAGTAGACACAAGAGGAATGTCAGCTTCATGTCCCACTGAACCTCTGGGCTGCAGAGAAGGGCGCTTGCCCCGAGTTCCCCCTGCTCCCCAAGGCCTCCGAGGGTGGGTGGGAGGCAGGGGTTCGTGTCTGTGAGGGAGGCTGAGTTGGGTTGTAGAATGAGCACGTTTCCTAAATTGCGAGGCTCTAGAAGTCACACTGGTGGAGGCAGCTTGATGTGAGTTATGCTGTCGCACTGTGATGTGCACAGAAGTACCTGAGAGCAGCATCCTGCCTGGTCCAACCCCTGGCCCGTTGCTCGTGCATGCTCAGTAAATGTGTGGAGTCAGCAAATGTGGCAGGGGAGTTACAGCCCCTGCTCTGGGAAGGGAGCTGGGCCCCTTCCTCTGGAGGCCGTGGTCTCAGCTAGGATTCAGTGCCCTGGCCATAGACCACACTTGGCTTTTCTAAAGTGCTATTCACTCTCCCAGGTCAGAGAGGGTAGGATTCTGCCTGAGTCAAGCAGCCCAGGAGCAGACTGGACACATGCCTGGCCAATGGGAGGGAGGAGGGCTCCTCAGACGGTAAGAGGACTGTAGGTTGTAGCCTCAGAGAACGGAGAAGGGGACAGAAGGACAACCAAAATGGGTCTCTTGGTTTAATGAAATAACTAGTGACTAGGGAATAAATCAAAACCTCGGAAATTGCTCTGCAGATGAAATGAATCTTTTGGAAGAACAAAGTTTGTACCAACCTGTCAAAAACATTTTAATGCTGATCTAAGACCTTGTATCCACATTTCGTTTTTCCCTCGGTGAGCGCGCACCTGTGACACTGTCACACCCCTGGAGATGCACGCCTGTTTCACTCCTGTGTGTGTGGGAGCCACCGCCACACACCCAGAAACCTCAGCCTGTCGGTTGCTGCCAGGCCGGCCCCGTTCGAGGCAGCTCTCCTGCATCTCTCCCGGACAATCAGCAGAAAATCGCATCTGGCCTGCTTTGCATTTTCCAACCCATATGCTCACAGTATGGATGTTGATTAATAACGTGTGTCTTAAGACACAGCCCCGCTGCGCTCGCTTTGCATACCAGGCCCCAGCAGAGAGGCGCCTTGTCTGGTTTCCTCAAGTCAGAGCCGCCTGCCCCTCGGGAGGCCAGGTGGGGTCCTGTCCATGTTCACCAAAGCGCTTATTTAATAGAAACTATTTATAATTGTTAATTATAGCACTTTTTTCCTTGAAAACCACATGTTCTTGTTTGTTGAAGTTTTTTCTTTTCTCTTCTTTTTGACCACAACCGGCTTAACTTACTGGAAAAAATAATATTCATATTTAAAGAGGTAAATTTTCCAGCTGAAACTGAAAATGCTAACTGCCTCATCTGTGCTGATCTGAGAAACCAGCATTTCTCACAGAGGCCCGTTTTGCTGAGTTAACATTTACATGGGTGCTGAAACAGAGCCAGCTTCCAAAGAAGGAGAAGGGCCCCACCAAACAAGCCCCCTGGGAGTTGCCAGGAGTGGTCAAGGCCAGTGATGACACCTTCCAGCCTGGACACCACAGCTGGTGCCGGGGGCTGGGCTCTCGCTCCTGCCTTCCTGTGCCCAGAGGCTACGGGTCTGGCTTTGTGCTTCCTGCAAGTCGCAGAGCGGTCCCTGGTGGTGCGTGGCCCAGACACAGAACTGCTGATTGGACTCCAGGTGCACATCAAAGGCAGCCTCGGAGGAAAAGAGGTGGTGGAATGGCCCGCTCGTTGCAGCGAGGCTGTGCCGGTTGCATTGAGGGTGTGCTTGCTGCAGTAAAAGTGGCCGTGAAGGGGAGTAGAGAGAAGAACCTGTCCAGGTGGCCCTGCCGCTTGTGGGGTTTCCCCGATGACCCCAAATTCTTCTGTGCCTTTGCCACCTGGGAACAGAAGTGTGGCTTTCCTGGGCTGTGCCTCAGTATAGCAAGGCTTGGTTCCCTCATCCTTTAAGATGGGGACTCAGCTGTCCTTTGCTAGTTCTGCTGCACAGAAGGACCAATGCGGTGAAAGGCCAGAGTATCCAGCACCCTGTCCCCAGCCCAAGAGTAGTCATGCAAGGGGGTTCACAAGGCCTTGTCATTTTATGATTGACTAGTTGAAAATATTTGCCTTCTTACAGCCTATTTTTAACCTACTTACTTTTTTGTCCTAAAGAAAGCCCTGCCCATTCACGCTAGGAAGTCTTGCTATTTGAACAGAATAACCTTTGTCCCACAGACAAGTTGGGTTTAAATCAGGGCATCACCACCGTGGCACTGCTGACAGTTGGGGCTGGGTCTGTCTTTGCTGCTGGGGCTGTGCCTTCTAGAATGTTTAGCAGCATCCCTGGCCTCGGCCTGCAAGATACCAATAGAACCTGCCCGCCCCCCCCCCCCCGCTGCACAACCCCACACACAACTGCGAAAACCAAATATCTCTCCAGACACTGACAGATGTTTGGGGCGGGGCAGCAGGGGGCAAAATCTGATCAGGACCCCTGGTTATGATTAGAAAGAGAAAGAAAGAAAAACACCTCTGAGATGAATTAGAGATCTTAGATAATGACTACATATCAATATTTGCCTGCAAAATTTACATGAGATTATTTTCATTAAACCTTTTAATTTTTTTAAGTCTTTTATAAACCCCGCTTCAATGCTAGTCCTGCAGAACTCAATATAACACTACAGTAACCTTAAACTCTTTTCTTCCTCCCTGATTTGCCTGCCAGTGCTGCTCAATGATCTTAGTTAGACAGTCACTCTCCGGCACCACAGCCAGAGTGTTCAGTCAGATAACCTCACGGATACAGTGTCACAGAGACCAAGTCCTCTCCTTGCGATGTAAGATAAGAAGTGGCTCTCTGTAACAAAGCTCACAGAGAAAGTGCCCACGAGGCCAACTCAGGCTAGAAAGTAGCACGTCTTTCTTATTCTCACTTTGCAAGTTACAGGCTGCAGCGCGAAACTCCAGAAAGAGCTCTAACCACAGCAGTTAAACAAAGGGCATGAGCTGCTGAAAAATGTTCTGTTTTGATAATTAGAACATTGATTGAGACACATTCTTACTTATTGAAAAAGCCTTTCCAATAAATGAATGTGCTACTTTCATTTTAAATGCTGCTTGTTAAAAAAGGCTCCAGTAAACAAGAGCGGTTAGGTCCGGAGCCAGAGCACGAACTTTGGAGAGCGGTCGTCGTGACTCACTCACTTTCTACACTTTTACACATAGTCATTTACGGTAATTGTTTTCTTTGCGATGCATCCTCATAAATCTCCCCTCTGTACTGTCCTCATTACTGGTAGCACTTGTGGAGTTACTCTAATTTCTGCAGTTGAAAATCTGTGACAATGAAAAATTTCCCCAACTGCGTTTATATCCTTAGGGTAACACGCCCGAAGACTCAGTGAGGACACGGCAGGGCTCGAGTGCTAGGCCTCGTCTCCTCTGGGCCGAATGGATCGAGATGGCTGAAGAGGATGGGGTGAGCTGCTGAAAATGGTCCTTCCTAAAGACCTCACCGAAGGCCCGAGGACCGCACCGTCCAGGCCAGTATACAGGGCCCTGGGCTGCGGACAGCCTTCCCGTGGACACTCCGTGCCTCTCCTGTGCTCCAGTCTTCCTTTTTCTTCTCTCTTCCTGCCTTCCTCTCTCCCTCCCTTCCATTTTTTCTCTTTCTCTCTCTCTTCTGATCCAGTATTCCTTTTTCTTCTCTCTTCCTGCCTTCCTCCCTCCCATCCTTCCACCCTTTCTCTTTCTCTTCCTTCCTTCCTAGTTATGAAAAGGTGAGTTCTGCTTCTTACCATGCAGGTCTGAATGTCTTAGCAGGGCTACCAAAGGGCTCTAGAAGTCTCATGCACAAGGGCTCTTAAAATCTCATTAGTGGGTGGTCATTCAGAAACTGCTCACAGTACAGCTTGTTTTCTAATTTTGTTATTCATCTCACCAGTACTGCATGGATGTACTCTTAGAGACATTTGGGGTTAAGTATATATTTTATAAGGTATGTAGCATATTATTGGCTGGCTTGGTTGGTATATTAATGAATACTTGACCAAAATAGAAAGAACTATTTTCTCAATTATTAAACCTCCAAATTCATTGAAAGTAAGTATATTCCTAAACAATCATCTTAATGCCTTTCTTAATGGGATTTTAAAACTTGTATCAACTATATCTTCACAAATAAATGCAACTGGTCTTACCTTCACATCTTCTGGAGCTGGCAGAAATTCAGGGTCCTATGGCAAAAGAAAATTAATTCTGAGTTATTTTAAGTCAAAAAGCTTCTTTTACATTCATGGAAGCATATCTTTTAGACTGTCTTCTTACAAGTATGGCCTTACCAAGTCATTCACATAATTTTTCAGCTGATCAACGACATCAATGAGTTGGCGCAGTCTAACCAGGAGGCGATCCTGCCCCTGCAGGCTGGACTTGCGGGCCACTGTCCCTGAGAAGAGGACCATCAGGCAGATGACTATGCCCCGCATGGTGCCAGGACGGGGTCTCACAGGCGCCGGGAGAGCCAGACCTCGGTCTGCCTTTTCACCTCGGCTTGACTGTGAGCAGCCTGCCAGTAGGGCTGCGTATTTATTCATCCTTCAGGGAGAGCTAAAGCCCTCCCATCACCGCCTGGAAATCTTTGTCAAGTGGATGAAGGTGAGTAACCCTTTTTCTTTTCCACTGGCTAGGTGTGCGTGCGCTGACGCGTGGGGGCAGGGATGGACCGACTCCACGGACTAGTTCCCTCTGCATCTCAGACAGGAAAAGGGAGGCACGCGGTGAATTCCAGCCTTCAGCAGGAGCGGAGAGGGGCGCGTGGTAAACAGTAGGTGCTGCAAGACTTCAAAGGAGTAAACAAAAACACTTGACTCGCTCGCTCTCGCCGCCTCCCCGGCCTCTCACCTGCTCCCTCTGACAGTCATAAGGACACTTCAATAATGACTAAGGTGGCCACATGTGCTTTCTCACAGGACTTTTTCTTATGGTAATAACGATGCTGTTTGACTGATATCACCCAGTATTCCATCTAAAAGGTAGGAGGAGAGCTACCTTTTAGGAAATTTTAAATATCAGGGGTATTTTCCAAGTTAGCAAGAATATTTTAGGTTCTTAATCAGGTTAAAGGGTTTAGAGTACAATTTGCTCCCAGCTCTTCCCCAAGTGTCTTCAAATAGCATTCGTCTTGGCTTCTAGCACATTATGTAACAGAGTGCCTCGTACGTGGGATCAGTGGTTCTCGGGGGCTGCACAGGAATGCGGTCGAGGTGTCCCCTGCTTCCTCTGCAAAGCGGCCCCAGTGTCCATCTCTTCTGCGTGTGCTTCTGCCCAAAGAGTGAGGAGGACCAACGCTCCCGGCCAGACCGAAATTTGTTTTCTCGGCGAGCAAAATTGAAAACACCCATACGTAATTCTTGTTTGCTCTTTGCACAGTGTTACTTCTTTCTGTCAGATACCATTTCCTCTGGGTATATGACAACACATTTCTAACCATGACCAGGTGGCGGTTAACGAGAGCCCCCAAGTCCAGGAGAGTCTCTCTCACGCTCCTCTCGCTACGGCCCCCGTCCCCGCCAATCTTGACATTGGAGGAAGCCACACAGGCTGCTGTAGCCACTTGGGTCCGACAAACCGAACTCCTGACTCTGACCTTTCCTCACTCCTCAGTCTCGTGACGTGTGCCGCTGTCCTTTGTTCTAGAACTTCAGCCAACACAACTTGGAGTGTGGACTGGAGCTGCTTTAGTAGGGTTGACTGTAATCTTTTGATCGTAGAACATCTATTTAGGAGGATAGGGCTGGTCCTAGAGAGTAGATAAGACGTCTTACTACACGAGCCAGGGGTCCTCCCTGTAACCTGAGGTTCTGCAGGGAGGCTCTGTGTAAGCCTCTGAAACGCGCAGGGACTCGGGTTCCCCAGCACAGGGCACCCGCCCCCGTCTGTGTCCTTGTCGCGTGGCCCCCTCGGCTGCCTGAAGAGCACGCGTCTCCTCGAAGACACTGACCACAGCAGTGAAGAGCTCAATTTCTGAACCAAAGTGCTAGAGTTCAAGCCCTGGTCCTGGTGACCAAGAGCACACATGTGACCCTGGGCATGTTCTTGCAAAAGGAAGCGAAGTCTAGAATCTAATCGTAGGGTTGTGGTGAGGCTTAAATCCGAAATAGTTATTCCCAGCAAGAGGCCTCAAGGACAGCTTGGGATAGAGTCCCAGGAGATCAGCGTGCTGAGGCCGAGGGTGGAGGAGACTTTCTGGAAGCCTGCAGAGGCTGAAGCGACGGGTGGGAGGAGCACAGGCAGGCAGTGGAACACACTGCGTGGTGTGGTCGCACTGCCTGTCTTTCAGGCTGGGGGGGGTGGTTGAAGCAGGGAGGCTGAGATTAGTGCGGCTGCTGCGTGGCGCGTGTGAGGGATGAGCTGCGGGATGAAGTATTTCCAGAAAGAGTTCCCAGTGTAATGCTTCTTCCTGGAGCTCAGGAGCTTCACTTGGACTGACAGTGTGTTTCGAACTCATGATCCAGTTTGCATTTCACTTGAACTTGTCACTATGTTGAGAGGCTCCTGAGAGTCAGAATAAGGAGGCCCAGATTTTCCTGGGCTGTGTACTCTCTGCTCAGTACTATTAACCTTATTGCTGCCTTCACAGCACCATTTAACTGACATCTGACCATTAGCTTTTTACTCTTCAGACTCAGTCAGTCCTGCCATATGCTTGTATTGAAGATGAGATTTATTTCAACGTGATTCATATACCAGGGAGGAGTTGGGCACAACCAGAGTGCCTGTTTGCTTCTGCAGTTTCTGCTGCAGGAAACCCTGGGGGGTGCAGAGCCCGCCTCCAGCTGATCCGGCCGAGCAGGAGCACCGAGCACCCACAGGCCTCAGACTCCTGCCGGCCACCCCGCCACCACATGTGTGACGAGCCGCAGCCGTCCACATCTGCCGGCACACCCTTCCCCCAGGGGACCCTCACGTGCCACCTCTCAGCAGCTCACAAGCCGCAGCCTTCCTGAGCCAACTGCAGGCCTCGTTCTGGGCGAAGTGCCTTACTCACTGTAGTCTTTCTGTGCTTCTTAACCACCGAACGTGTGAAACGGCCGTCTTCTGACCAGGTGCCTGCCCTTCGTGGGTGTTTCTGAGTGAAGGGCCCCCACCCCATTGCCCTGTGAGCCGCGGTCATCACGGTGCAGTTTTGTGCAATGTGGCGATTGTTGGAAAGTATGCCACATCAGAGCAGAGTGCTCTGAGTTTTGTCTGGACATGCTCACACTCAGGCCTGAAGAGCGACTTGCTACATCCTGTTGAAGAGTGGGACCAAGATAAAGGGTTCATTTTGCAGATGGAGAGAGGAGAGGGCGGTGGAGGAAGGGGCGGCGAATGGAAAGCAAACGACTGCTTTCCTACTTTTACACGTGGGCCACCTGGGCTTCAATGTTTAAAAGCCCTGTGCTCAGCGGCTTCAGCACGTGCACATGAGCAGCACCCCCAGGCCCTGTGTGCCAGGGACACTGAGGGGCCACTGTCTGGCCATAGGGGTGCAGTGAGCACCCTGCTTGCACCGGGCTCCGTGTCACCCGGGTACTGTGGGGCGATGCACCCCACGTGCGTTCTCTCCTGGATGAGAACCCAGGTGGTCACCACAATAGCAGGAAACTGTAGTCAGCTCCTCACTGGGATCCATGGACATAGTTCAAGAATTTTCTCTAATGGTCTGTGCTCACAGACCAGCTGCTCTGGGGGGTCAGTCAACATCCGCACATGAGCACTGCTACTTCATGGTTTTGCGGGCGGGAAGCTGGGCCAGGTCTGAAACTGCTGGGTGCTGCCTGTGCCCGACAGCCCTGGCCTGTCCTCACAGCTCTTCCCTGAGACCGCTGAGTTTCTGTGGTCACCCCCTTTGGCCCTCGTGCGTAGGCACGCATGGCCTGTGTGGCAGACTCCGGGGAGAGAGGCCTCCGGTGCTGAGGGCCACGTGAAGTCGTCGTAACACACACCACTCCTGTGTACCGAAGGCATTCCAAGGGGCGGCTTGTCTCAGGGCAGCTGTGACATTCATGGGCGAGGCTGGAGGTTAGCCGTCTTCTATTCCATGAGCGCAGGCACAGAGGATGGAGGGAAAGGATGGGAAGACCCACAGTGTTCAGCCAGGTTCCAGCTGAGCCCAGGCCACGAGCTGGGACAAGTCCCCCAGACGCCTGTGTGGTGTGGACCATCGGAGAAACCCCCTTTCTCTGGACTCCCAGCCAACCTTGGGTGACAGGTGGCTGTCAGCATTGCCCGTGCAGCTCCCCACTCACAGCCATGAAAATCAGCCAGCACCGGCCCGCCGCCGCTGTGCCCCCTTCCTGCAGAGGCTGCTGAACTCTCGCTCACAGGACCCTCTCCGCGTTCTTCCAGGGCGGCCACGTGGTGACCACAGAGAGGGGCGGCCAGCGGGTTGTGCTCCTTGCTCTGGACCCTCGTGTCAGTTTCCAGGAAGGAGGATCATCTTTGGGAAACAACTGCTTTTCATTGTTATGTTTATAAAAGTTATACACACGTGTCATAAAGCAAAGAATTCAAAGAACTTACCATTGTATAGAGTAAGAATAAAAGTACCTCCCTTTTCTTCTATAATTTTTACTCCCTGGGGATGCTCTTGAGAGTTTACTGTGTATCATTCTATGCTCTTCTGCTATGTCCATAGAACAGTATGGAGGAATATAAGTGCGTATGGAGATGGAAGGAAATAGGCTCATGTATGGAGATAAAGACGTGTAGAAAATAACAGAGATAACAGAAAAACTTTTTTTTTTTCACATAAAAAATTTAATCCCACCACAAAGGTGCTACAACTCCCTTCTGTCACTTGATAGTATGTCGGGGAGGGCAGCCCACATGGGGCGCCCACACGGGCCATGGCACTCAGAGGGCAGGTGGGCCTGCCCTGCAAGGGCCCCCCCCCAGCAGACACAGGCATCTGTCCACTTGTCCCTGCTGCCGGGGCACCATCAAACATCGCCGTCTTTAAGCCCGTGGAATGTATTTCTTCTAGGTATGTAGCCCGCTTTCACTTCCTGAGTGGAAAGGGCGCTTCCTGTTAAATTGCTGCTAGAAGGGGCCAGGCCGCCCTGCAGTGTCCCAGGCCGGTGTGCGCTCCTGCCAGCAGAGTTCTCGTTCCTCCCCCGTCCTCATCGGTAGGTTAGAAACATGTTAACCATTTCCCAGAATGCTAAGGCAAGGCAGTCTTTCTCCTTCGGTCTGTCGCTCTGATCGATGGTCAGGTCAGCACATTTTCCTGCTTTAGTGCCAGTGAACTCCCATTTCTGCCAACAGCCTCCTTCCCGTTCTTCGCCCGTCCACAGGGTGGGTTCTCGTTCCCGTGAATGATAGGTTAAACGTGCTGAGATGATTCTCTCCATGGTGTCTTTTGCCGTACAGAGGTTTTACGTCTCTACACTGTTGTGTCTGAGACTCTTCCGCTCTACGGCATGGAGCCCTGCTGAACGTCAGAAACTCCTCCCCTCTCGTGACGGCAAACGGCGGAGACTGGCGTGCTGTGCGCCTCTCATCTGCAGAATGCGAACGCGGAGGGAGCTCGTGTGCGGATCGGCCTGTCACTCATCACAAGACTAGCTGCATGCTTTCTGAAAAACTGTAATTCCTGGACAGTGAAACACGAT